GGGGGGGTTTGTTTGCCAAGACTTTCACTGCCTGAGTTTTTCGGGATACGAAGGAATGAACAAACATTCATGGAAACAATCAATGACAATATCCACATACTGCGTCCTCTCAACATCGTATCAGCACTCATGCATATCGTAGCTCATATTTCGATCGCTCAACTCAGTAGTAGCCCTCAATAGGCCTCAATCTCGCCCTCTCCTCGGGCGTTCGCACGTCCGCATGACCTCCTCCGTTGCCCGAAGCCGGCCCAGCAGCACCACCACCGGTACTGACCCCAGTACCACCAGCACGATCCTGCTGCGCAGCCCACCTTACCCACCGTTTAACAGCCTTATCCACCATGCGCAGCCCCTTCCTGCTCGCCTCAATTTCAAACCACTCTTTATGCTCTCGTCCGCACGCCTCGCACGGCCCACTCGCCACGCGCTGATCCGCCAGTTCGAGGTGCACCAGCCGCTCGACGCGATGGATATGCGGACACTTCTTCGCGCCGGCGCTGCTGGAGCCCAAGGCTGACGAGGATTGATACGGGTAGTATCGCACCAGCGTGATGTCCTGGCCGCATTGTTTCGTCCACTGGCTCATGCGGCGGTGGACGTTGGCGGCGCGGCCTATCTTGAGCAGGACGGTGCGCTTGGGTTTCGACGGCTGAGAAGGGGCTGCGCGTACGGAAGCATAGCGCTTGAGCGTCTCGGATTGGCGGTGATGGTTGGCCGTAGAGTGGGATGGGAGATTGCGGCTGCGAGTAGACGTGGGTATGTCGGAGTCGGAGTCGGAGTCGTCGATGATAGAAGTGGCTGTCTCGTCGTCGGGCTTGGCAGCGGAGTCGGGGGTTAGCCAGAATATGTAGATGTAGCCCGCTTCGTTCAACGGCGAGATCGGTTTGCTGAGCTCGGCAAGGAGCATCGAGGTGGTTTGAGGTGACAGGCTCGAAGGGATCAGTGACAGAAGAGCCTGCGTTTGGGAGTGCGAGGGGGCAGTGCCGGGCTGATCGGGAGCGGCATCTAGATACGGCTTCGCTGGAGGTCGTTGTGACGCAGGAACGCTCGACGTTGAGGGATTGGACGGGACCGGTTTCCTCCGGATCTCTGAAGTTGGTCGGCCGGTGGGAACTTGCATTGGTGCGGGACTGCTGTAGGCACCAGAAGTGCCTGCAGGGCGTGGCCTAGGCCGTGGAGCAGGATCGTCTTCGTCGGCTCGAATGCAACAACTCCACGACGCTTTCACATTTGACCGTCCATAGCTGTATTCCTTCCGTTTTGGTGGCTTGGGCCGCACGTATTCCTCGGGGACGGTCATCAGAGGCCCTTGCATGTCGTGCCACCCGGAGGGGAGGGTATCCCGCTTTGTGAGACGTGGCTCGGGTCCATGGGATCGCCTCTTTTTCCTCTTACTGGAGACTTCGGAGTCTAAATCAATAACGCCAACCTTATCTGCCAGCGTGTCTATACTTGATTTTTCCTTCAATGTAAATAATGTCGTTCTCTGCTCGGCTTGAGCTGCGAGACTTTCGGCTTGATCTTTGTGTTGCCAGCAGTAGAATGCAGCGGCATCATCTTGATCGAGGACTGCTAACACACCACGGTCATTGCGAGAAGGTGAGGGGACAGGCGAGGACTTTGGAGAGGCTGCAAGGGCGCGTCGACAAGGTCGGCCACTTGCAGTAAGGCCCTTGCAGGTAGTAGCGGGATTTTTAGAATCTGCACGAGGAAGCAAGGATTCTGGGGTCCGTCCTGAGAAACTCATGTTGACTGCTTATCAGTGCTTTCCAGAAAGGTAGATGTGAAGATGCAGAGGGTTCAGAAAGGTAGTAATCAGGTTGGATGGCCGTGTACAGATCAGAACAGCAACCTCTCACCTTACGTGAGTTGTGCTCACATACATTTGATTAAAATTGTCATCTACAGCCAGACCACAGGCTGAGCGATGAGGTGAAGGACCGTCGATGACCGCTCAAACGGCCCGGCTACGGAAGCACACATCTAGGCAGGCCCAGTCAGTCAAAGAAGGTGGTTGGGTGAAAGCGCGTCTGAATGTTGAACGCTTGGGTGTGGCTGGCGAAGGCGGTGCAAGGCTGTGTATGGCGAGCTACAAGGCTGAGGCTGTGCCGGTGTGTGCTCGGGCTCGTGGGCATCGTGCCGATCGGCCCTTTCGACAGGAGAATATCAGTCTGAGAATGTCAGAGATGGCAGTAGGTCTTTCAAGAAACACATCACGTTGATGCGAATTGGAATTCGACAAGTACTGCCGTTATATGGCTGTGCCTCCCTGCTCCTAGCTGGCCATCACGAAAGTGTGGATGCCAAAGCCTATCTGCCTATCTGCGATGTTCATGACTCTTGTGAGATCTATCCCACAGGTTTGTGGCAACAGCTTCATGGTATAGCAGAGCTTTTCCTTAAAACCCCAACCCTCAAATCTCGACTTTTCGAATCACTTTTCCCCCGATTCCAAAGCCCCAAATAGCATATCCACCTAATGCTGAAGTGGTATCAAGAATCTCATATAAAATCATCAATAATCGTGCACGGTGGTCATCCACCCATTCATTAGTTCGTAACAATATGTTGGAAAGAGTTTCGGGAGGACACCGTATCGCACCGACCAAGATAGTCCGTCATGCTGGTTGGTAGTCACTCGTCCGAATATCGAATACACAGGTATTGGCTCAGTTTGCAGGCGGCACTGCCTGAGCATTAGGAAACAAAGAGTATGATGCCCTCGTATTGAGTCGACGTCCACTATTCAGTGTACTGGAGCGTTTTCGAGGAGCTGATTTCGCCGCCTGGGCGACGGAAGAACTGCGGTTCGGTACAGTGGGGACGCGGGAGGTAGACGCGCCTCTGTGATGGCTGATATCTGGCAGCTCCACGATCTTGTCTTCTGCTGCAGTGTCCTCGGCTTGTGGACCGACGGTCACAGTGTCTGAGCTAGAAACGCTGCCGCTGCCACTGGCAAGCATCTTTTTGTCATCTGGGGGCAGTGTCCCCTCATCCTCGATGCTCGCCAGCTGGCCGAAATCGCCTAACGAGGTACTGGAATTGGACGAGCGGTGAGTTGACATGATCGAGGATGCGATGGAGAGAATAATGCTTTCCTGAGAGCTCGATTTGCTGATGGGCGAACCCGGCTCTCGGCGCACGAAAGGCACCTTAAGACTGTCGTGCTTGTCAGAGTACTCTTCATAATCTAGTCCTCCAGCCACGCCATTCTCTGGTCGCGCAGCGTTGATGCCGAGACCTTGGAGGTTCATATCGGACTTGTAAGCTCGCATTGGCGGAGCAGGTAGCGATCCAAGGCTACTGAGTTGCATTGCACTAGCCGTCCGCTGAGGGCCAAAGTCGAAGGTTTGTGGCAGGTAGTCACTCTTGGTCATGCTCTCGCCTACCATGTCCATATCATCATCAACATCAAAGGCATGATCCCACGAGTAGTCGATGGCGTCCTCCCAGTCGTCAACATCAATCTTCTTGATGCCAACAGAGATGCGTTTCGAATTCCTGGCGGCAGATGGAGGAGACGCCAAGGTCCCTGCTGCTGAGCCAAATGTAGATCCTGGCGATGTGTCACAGTTTGATGGACTGCGGTGTCGAGAAGTCCGTTTTGCCTGAGGTAGTTGTTGGGGACGAATGCCTGCTGATAGTCTAGGCCTCGTAGGATCCAAAGCTTCGGCATCAGTAATGACTGGCGAACTCATCTCAGGACTTTGCGAAGGCACCTGAGGTAGTGGTGCAATTTTCATTGGCAAAGTTGAGTCATCGACAGTAGAGACAGCATGAACAACGGTAGGAGGCTGTGGCAACGGCTTGTCAAGCAGCTCCGAGTAGGTGAGCTGTCGTGGTGAGTTAGGAACGGTCGCAGCAAGTCCCGTCTCAGGTCCTGGTAACTTCCCTGGTGAAGGAGCCAGGTTGGCTGTAACCATCGGGGCTTCGTCTCCAGCGATGTCGGCCTGTGAATCTGCCATGAAGGGCTGATCTGTCTCAAGCTGGGGAGATCGAGTCGGCCAAGAGAAATTGTCCATTGACCGGGAGAATCTGACATCTGCTCCTAACGACGGCGGCATGGGGAGGTCCTTAGGGGGCGGCGCCGGCTTGGGCGGCGTCGACGGTAGTGAAGGGACAATGGAGAAGGTGGGGGACTGTGGTGTTGCAGAGGTTTGTTCAATTGATGGGGTCGAGGACGGCAAGTCTGCAACAGGGATGCCCTTGATTTCTTGTCCGGGTGCCTGGTCGGCTTGCAACGCACTGAATGAGTCTGCCAAATCGGTTTTGGCCGACTTGGTCAGATCCTGATACTGGGACTGGTTGGTGTGCGAGACGTGCTGGAAGTCAAAGGGACCAGAGATCTGAGGCCTGAACTCGCTCCTGCGGGACGAATGTAGATTTAACAAATGGCCAGCGGATCGGACGCGAGCAATTCCTGTACTCCGGCTGTCCTTGGGATCGTCCTGCTGGGTAGCCAGTACGTTGAACTTGCTTGTTTGGCGCCTCACCATCCGACTACCTTTGCTGAGGAAATGTTTGGACATTCTTTCAGAACGGGGAGGGCCGATCTCTGTCTCTTCCATGATGCTTTGACGAGATGATGGCCTGGTAGTTGTCTCTGTCGATGACTGATCGAAGGATCTGGCCCCCCCAGAAGGGACTGAGGAAAGAGTGTTGGTCCTGGAGCGGGTCCGTGTAGTGCTCGGCGGACTGTTCCCCATATGCTCTTTCACAAGCTCTGCCAGAGCCTGTTGAGAAGGTTCGGCCGATGATTTGCTGAACCATTCAGGCAGCATACTCTGTTTCTCACTTGGCTGTTTGGAGTGACCCGGTGTCCAAGTGAAACGACCCATGATATCCAGACCCTGTTCTGCCGAAGTCGACGATGGTGCAACGAAGCATTCGCGAGACTGATGAAAGGAGTGATGTGAATGGGGTTGGAAGGAGCGATCAAGGGAAGGACCGAAGCCTGCTATAGCAGGAGCAAAGGAATGAAGTCGCGTACGAAGGATGGCGGTTGCGAGTTGACGAACAGGAAGCGGTTGCGAGAGGTGATTTACAGGATGATGTACACAATTGTGGAGGGGGGCTGCCTTTTGGATAATAGAACAAACAGCTCGAGAGAAAGGCCTGGTAGGATATTCCTGGGGCGGATACGGAAAACAGAATAGTTATGATAGTGGAGCAGATGAGAGGGGCTGATATGGACAGACGGGCCCGATCATCTTCTCTGGGCCTCAGGACGCTGCATGGCCGAGTAGAAAGTGAAGCAGTGGGTATAGAGACCGAGCAAGACAAGGAAGGATCGGAGGGCAAAGCAACCCGGGCAGGGGCAGGGACAGGGGAGTGAGGCAGGGACAAGGGCTGGTATCTTTTTAGCGCGTTGAAGCAAACTGTGTAGAGGCAGAGCGAGTCCGACCTAGGTGAAGAGCAGCGGAGAGCGCAAGGGCGAGGAAGGACAGACTTGGGTCAGAAAGGGTAAGACAAGGGAACAGACTCGGCGGAGGCATAGTCAGGAAGGCTTCTAGCGCATCTAGTCAGGCACCAGAATGGTAGACGGTGCCGGCAACCAGGAGAAGGTTTTGATGAAGAGAGGCTTGGACACACGGACTAAGGGGCGTCGAGGGAGGTTGAGCGGTGGACCTTGGCGGCGGAGCATGGCGGACAGGGGTAGCCTGACGCCTTATGCAACGCTTATGCACGCTTCATGCTACTCCCAGCCTGGACCTTACCCGCTATCCTGGCTCTTCCGTCGGCCGCGAATGTCTAACCGCAATTACCATAACTCTCTGGAGCAGAGGACGTCACATCCCTGGCCCCTCTACAGAGTGCTCGCAAAGCACCACAGGGCAGACTCGTGCTCCAAATACCGGCCACCGAACGAGAAGAGTGGGCAACTCGTCCAACATCAACACCGGCGAGAATCTTGTGGTTTCGTCATGGGCTTCGGCTCGTCTTCAACGTCAGCCAACGTGACTGACGGCTCCGGGGCAGCATGTTTGACAACGCTTTCACTCTGACAGCTGTAACGACCACAGTGAGAGGCAGATTTGACGCTTCAGTCCGCCGCACTTGTAGCGGTATCTCTGAAACACTGACTTTACCCTGCTACAGTACATGGAGTCCACGCTTTCCCGAATGTGGATTCTATAACAACGCCGAGTTCAGCAGTTGGGCCCAATTCTTCTTCCACTCTCCACTGCTTTGGGCCACCTTTTAAATTTGCTTACCAGAATCGGTGGATACTGCCTGATCAGCGTAAAAGATTTGCACGGCGTCGCGGTCCTGCTCCCGTGGTCCACTACATTGTATTAGAGTAGCGTGTCGCCGATTCAGTTGGTGTCCCAGCATCGTGGTCTGTGGCCTCGCTTATTGGGACGCATATGAACCCCACGAACTGTTACGAGTACTCCGTATGGCATATCCGTGCCAGTCAGCCACCGCCAGTCACTCAGTGCCCACACTGAGCAAAGCTTTTGCGAGCGGTGTCTCGGTCAGGAGTATGGAGTGGCGACGAAGTAGTCGTCCCCAGCCTCCGTCGGTGTTATCGTTGCCGGTGCCTCTGCCACGGGGGATCAAGTGTTTCCTTTCACGCTACGGAGTACAGTTGCGAATAACGATGATCGCCCAGATTCGGGATCCAAAGTTGTGGTTGCTTCTCCAACTGGAGTGGGTTGATTCCGTCCCAGAGTCCTCAAACGTTTGCTTGGCCTCGAGCACTGCGTGCCATTCTTGTTATCTCTGGCTTCAGATGGCTTGACGACACTGCGCCCCAATCGTAGAAAGCGCGGATCACACGTCGATGGGGGTCTCAGTGCGTAGGGACGACTTTCTTTTGGGAGTTCCTCTTATCTACTATCACAGACATGACAGCTGCCAGATGCTCAGACTGCATTTTTCAGCACAGTATGGGCCGTGAGGGTCAGTCAGGGCATTGCCCACCAATAACATGCACCAGCTAAGTCGATTTGAGAAGACCGTGAGGCGCGAAATCCTTCGGCAGTCAGCTCCAACTTCGAGGACACTGTTGCCCACTGCCTCATTGTAACCAGTCGGTTCTCCCAAGCCCAGATACCCCTGTCTCACTGCTACTAACAAAGAGTGCTACGGAGTCCTCATGTACAGCATTGTTCTGGAGCACAGCTGCCAAGAATCAGACTCGTCCATGCGCACTGCTGCACAGCCAGGCTCTCGCGATTGCACCATCGCATCTCGCGAATGACCTCATGTTGGACTCCCAAGCTATCAACTACTGCACGCTGTCTCGAACCTCCTCGGAAGCACAATAGAGTTGCTCAGCCGCATTTCCGCATCTTCCCACGGCTGGGGTTCAGGAATTCGCGTGCAGAGGTTAATTTTACATTTCGATTTTGCCAGTGCATCCCCAGGCGACCGTCCGGGAGGGGATCTACAATACCGGCGCACCATCATTGGCCCGCCTACAGGTGTGTGTCTTGTATACTTTGCTATACCATGGCTGCCCGGAGGTGACTATTGAGAAGCATGCAAATTACTATTGCATTCATCTCCAGGGCATCGGCGATGAAGTTAGTTCCACCGTAACGTGTTCGTTCTTATGGTGGGGCGTAAAAAAGGATCTTCAGGTACAGTTCCTCACGCGTGGCCCGAGACATTTCTCTCGCAACCCAGCCCTCACGTGGGTCGATTACCTCATGCGACAGCGCTCGCGCATGGTTCCTGCAGTTGTCGGGCTTGGAAGTCCTATCTTAAAAGTCTGCCTTTTCAACAACCGTGGAGCTGATTTGATTACCTATGTCTCTTCATGTGAAGGCAAAATCCATCAGCCCTAGGTGGATGTTTCAGACACGCAACACGCAAAACCGCGAACAACCCAGCTTCTTGCATGGCGCCATTGGCCACTAGACACGCTACAGTCGGTGCAGTGCCGCCACCGCATCTGCCGGCGCCTCTCGCTTATATTGTCACAGACCAGGGCAACCTTGCCTGTACCTGCAGCTGAGGCACAAAGCCAGGAAGCGACGAACCCCGCTCTTGCGTCTCCAAGGAAGGCCCTGTACGCCTAGGAGCTACCGGTTTGACCGCTTCAAGCCTGCACGAACGACTTACTGCCGATACCAGACTGACAGCTCTAGGGTCTCCTAGCAGGAGCATCTACCGTCCAGCACCTCCTCACCGCTCCTCTTCCCAGTGGCATGGAAATGCCGAGCCGGCGGGATGGCGGGTAGCTCCTCCCTATACTTGCCGCTGTTGTACCCTGCATCGACTCGGCCAGAGCATGCATGGGCGCTGTCGACACCAACTCAAAGTTGGAGAGTATCTGCCGCAACCGTGGTATGATCCCCTGAGAAAAGTCTTCACACTCCATACAGCATAAAGCTGCCGACAGGCTGTTCTTGCCCCACTGTCATGCTACTGGCCACGCCGCACGCCCACCGTCGCCTTTCTTCACCCAGGTCCCGGCACAACTCGCTTATCAGTGACTTCGCCCCGACCACAATTTCCATTGACGAGCTGTCAACAAAGACTTGCACTTCCGCATGGACCCTTGACTATACTTACGTGAAGCACGACTCTTTCTCCATGCTGCCCTCCTCATCACACTGATGCATGCGTGATAGCTCCGCCCATGACCAGACGGTCATATTCCTGGCTCAACATTTATCATTCTGCATGCGTACCAGGCCATCTCGGCTTAACATACAATGATTGATTCATTTCTCCCGTAATCCGCCCCGAGATCTTCAGGCGCCCTACGTTCGTTACTCCAATGCCTACGCTGGGCCTCGGTGCGCAAGATGCTGCCTACCCCAGAAAAACACGGCCCGTGGATTCATGCAACCACCACAGCAGTACCGAAATTGACACGGTGCGCGTAGCATACTTGGCTACACTACCACTTACGGAGCACTACCTGGAATACGGCTAAAATCGCTCTGGAGCCCTGGCGACCTGGTGTTCTTGACGGCCAGTCCACCAATATACACCCCTGCATCAGTGCCATGTTCGTCTACTACAACTCGGTGTCGACAGGTACCAGGATGCTGCAGGTTCTATGACCAACAGTTCTCCCACCAGGAAATAGCGTCACCATGAATGTCGCTATGGCATGCTGCAGCCAGTGCTTGCTTCGAAGACAGGCATCACCGTCGGACAACCTGTTGGCTTGACCATCTCCTGTCTGAGTTGCGACAATGCACTCACCTTGCAAACGATGCTTCTCGGCCCGAAACCCAAGCTGGGCTGCAGCAACGTCTTAGCATGTAGCTGTACCGGAGACTGCACCGGAGACTGTAAGCAGCGAGGCACCTCGGGGACCATGATCGATTTCGGGGTCTTGTCGTACGTCCATCTCACGCCGCCACTGGGATAATTGCAGAAGTCCATCCCTGGGAAAACAGATTCAGGGCCGTGCATCCACGGCAAGCCGATCAATGCTGTGTGACCTGATCGACGCTGCCCCGCCACAAGCGGCACTCCTTATCAAGAAACCCCCACCATCTAATCTCCTAATTGCTTCTGCTTGCGCGAATCTTGGATTCCAATCTCCCCGAGGCCCCCTCCCCCAACTGTTCCGACGTAGCGATTGACAAGGGCCCTCATCTCAACCCACGTGCGTTCAACATGGTCCGGGAAGTCAGCATGGTTCGTCTGAGGCTCCGACAGTTTGGGCATGCACATGCGACGGGTTCCCGCGTTCGTTTCATCCTTCGTTTCGTAACAACAGATGCGGGATATCACACTGCGTCATTGCTTGCCTGCGACGGTTCGGACGCGGGACAGCGTCTGTTCCGCTTAGAACAGTGCACAGCTGTGACTACTCGGCAACGTATAGAGGTAGTGGAGGTGCATGATCGCCCCTTTCATCGGCAGACATCACATCCCTAGGCAGTAAAGCTAAGGCTAGAGGTACTTGTGAGTGCGGGTCCTCAACGCCTCGAACGGCGATGTGACTCTAGGTCGTCGTCGTCAAGCTTAGCTCGGCATCTCGGTTCAGGAGGCACGATGGCGCTGAACTACCACTACACAATAGGCGCGGCAAAGTATCAAAAGTCACGGCGCATGTTTCGCCGCGCCAGTGATGTGGCAGAGACTCTTCCTTGCCTCAGCTGCACTGTGATGCGCTTTCTTTGCGCAATGAGCAACCCCGGGCGCACTTCGCGGCGCAATCCGTACAAACCGGATAGCTGGTATTGCAACGACTTGTTCTCCAGATTCTTCCTCAGCGAAGACTAGTTGATGACATCTGATGCCAACCGCTCATTTTGCCAAGACCACCTCACTCGCGTTTCTGTGTGACATCACAGCTCCAATTCGACCACATTCACGCACCTTCCAGCGGCACCCATTCCATGTATGTGGCCATCTGCAACACTACCAACAAAGGCAACAATTCCACTCCGCCTCTCCCGCGGCATCTGGCTCGCGCGAGCCCCGGGGCCCATAGAGCTCAGGTGATATGGCCTATGACGAAAGCATGACCTCCCATCCCGCCGGAATTCACGCTCCGCGGCCACTCAGCAATCAGGTAAGACGCAGAAAAATGCTGCGATTCGCAGGGTGGGATTTTCGTACCCAGGATCAAGCGAGCCAGGCTCTGTAAGGTGAGGCTACGAAATAACGTGCGTAATAAGTGGATGGACTAGTGAAGGTGTTGGAATATAAATGCGGCGGTCGTAAGGCGAGGGCAGATTCCTAACATATCATCTCTTTTTGGACCGTCTACCGAGCCATTTCTACATCTCACATCTAAAGCTACTGTCGAAAGCAGGATCAGCAGCTAGCTTATCACACCAGACAAGTACATCATCTGAACTACCAAAACCCAACCCAAACCAAAACGCAACAATGCCCCGCGGCGCCGACTACGCAAACGAGGCCCCCCACTCCGACAACGCCGTCCCGGAAACCCACAACCTCACGCACGGCAGCGGGGGCAACACCACCGCCGACGCACCCCTAGGCAAGGAGCAGAAGACGGCGCCGATGCCAGAGGGCCTCAGCGAGGTCCACGACCACGTCATGAGCGGTGGGGGCAGCGGCGTGGCGCCCGGCACGATTGAGGGGAGTGGGAAGGGAGGACACGAGCCGAAGACGTTGGGGGAGGAGAAGGGGTTGGGCGGGAGCGTGCCGACTAGTGAGGCGAAGTGAAGGCCTCTCAATTAAATCTAAATGAAGAGCCAACCTGTGAAGTGGCCTCATTCAAGGTATTGCCTGTTTAGGGGTAAGGGTGGGTTTGTGGGGGGGGGGGGTGGTTCGAGGTTAGGGAATATAACTGCGGTTGGATGCCATTGGGACCATTAGTCGGGGCGATTGACTGGTTGAGTTGAGATGATGGTATTTGCTACTCTACGCTTGATGCCGTTTACAACCGCGTGGTGTGGGACGATCTATGTTATTATTGTCGACTCATATCCCACCCAGCACTCTCAGCAACCCAAGTATCTCTCAGCTTTCCTCGCCAAAAGGGTAGTTGAATTTGAGTAGCCCATTCAAGCCGCCTACCCAGCCATCGTCGCCCTCGGCGCCGCCTCTCGTCTGCCGCAGCACACACGGAATTCCGCCTCTCCATGCGTTGTCGTCCCCTTTCCTCAGTTCCTCTCCACTCACCCTCACTTCAGCGCCGACCCCTATGCCATGGCTCCTTCTTCGGCCGTCAATGCTCAGCTCAACCTCTCGCCCACGGTTCTTCTCACTGAGCTTCAACGTGATGGGCGTCGCGGCGGGCAGCACCAACGGCCGGAAACTTAGGCTTCGCGGACAGATGGGCGTCAGTAGCAAGGATGGCACCAGCGGGTGGATGATGCTCCCACCGCTGCTCAGGCTGTAGGCTGTGCTTCCCGTGGGTGTCGAAATGATCATGCCATCCGCGACCGCTTCTGTGAGGTAGCGGCCGCCCACGTAAACCTCGACGATGGCGAGATGCGGGTCCTTGCCTCGGTGAAGGATCACCTCGTTCATGGCATGCATGTCCCCTTTGGATTCGGCGTCGCCGTTGTCACTCTCCACCAGTCGCTGCCCGTTGGCGTCGAACACGCCAATTTGTAACCGCTGGCGAATCAAGACTTTGGCGCCACGGCTACGGCCGAGCGACTTACCACGCACCGAAGACCAGCCTGTCCGTGTGGTATTGGTCGTGCCACCGATCAGCGAGTCTCTCTCGGAGAGCGCACCGGAGACGTAGACTTCCCGAAAGGCGCGCTTGTACTCGCTGAACTTCCATTCGCCGAGGAAGCCGAGTGTACCCATGCCAAAGGAGAGGATGGGAGGCACTTGTGCGGCGGTGGCGAAGAGTGACGCTGCGTGCAAGATAGTGCCGTCGCCGCCAAAGGTGGTTATCAGGTCGACATGCTGGTGATAGACGCGAGGGGAGGTTGTGGACCCAGCAGCATAGATGGGAAACGGAAGCGCTGCGGAGACTTCGTCTGCGACGCTGGACTCGACTATGATATTGGTGGAGGGGTACGTCGAGTTGATGTGAGAGGCAAACTCGGTAAGCGCTGACGTGGTTTCAGGTGCACAATCCTTTTTGATGAGGAGGACATTGCGGGGAGGTGATGGCCATTCCAGAGACAGGAGGTCATTGTTGGAACGTTCCTGGTAGTGGACCGGCCGACGAGGTGGAAGAGTGTCTATGGCGTGAACTTCCAAGAGTCGTGTATGGGTGCTGAAGCTATGCCGAGCTTGTAGAGTAGTACCTGAAGACCATAGCGTTCGACATGAATGGCCGAGAGAAGAGCGTAGCTGGCTGACCAAGCATGTGATACTCATTACTGGTATCTGGGTACCCCAAATTCATTCTCCTCGGCAGGTCTATGAAGGCAGGCTATATCACATGCTGCCACTCGCAGGGAACACGCAAAGGCCAAATGATCTAGAATGCAAGAAACGCGATATATAGATTTGTTTGCCGTCAATATGAAGATAGTCGCGATGACATACATCAAGGCCGTCAATGGTTGATATGCAGCTACGGTGGAGTGTTGGCTCCATCCGACGCATCTATCCGCGAGGGCCGAAGTATCGACGATGCGATCACGCCCTCACTTGCTGCCTGCTGCCTTCACGTATCTGGCGCTACGGGCTGCCGGTTCAGCTTGTCAGCCGCAGCAACAATACTTCGTGCCCGCTGTTTTCCTGGTCTTGAAGTAGGTGTTGGCGCATCGGCTTTTACGGAGCTACGATTCTCTATTCATGTCATAGACCTACGCTTTCACCCGAATATTGCTAATCACTCCTCTCGCTACATCCCCTCCATACCGCGACGTGCGCACCCGAACTCGAATGCAGCATGGACGCAGATGGCTTGAAGAGACGTGTGCCTGAAGATGTGAAGACATCGGCCACAACCGTTGCAGACCATGCCACGTCTGCGCCGCAACCACACCCTGCTGGCGAAGTCAAGCATGGAGTCGGCATGGAGATATTGCGTGTGCTACTCTTCACGTCTTGGTTTCTTTGCGTCGGTACAAGCATCACCGTCACACAGCTTATCGGCTCGCCGCTGTATTACGTCAATAGAGATTATTATTATGCCTACATGGCTTTGACCAAGCAGTCATTCGGGATCCTGATTACCACGATAACTCAGTGGTTCAGTCCGACCGTCATCCGAGTCAGTTGGGACCAGAGTGTGAGAGGACAGCTGCACAAGACACCCGACGGTAGACTCGAGACCAGCTTTCCCGAGCGTATGATCCTCTTGTCCAACCACCAGATTTATACCGACTGGCTGTATTTGTGGTGGGCTGCATACACCGGCAGGATGCATGGACATATCTTTATCATGCTCAAGGAGTCCCTCAAGTACGTCCCTATCATCAGCCCTGGAATATTGTTCTATGGTTTCATATTCATGGCGCGCAAATGGACATCGGACCAGGGCCGCATTGCCTACCGTCTGCAGAAGCTGAAATCTCGTCATGGAGGTCCTTTGTCCGGGTCCGCCGGCCTCGATCCGATGTGGTTGCTCATCTTCCCTGAGGGCACTAATCTGTCGTCCAATACACGAAAGGCTAGTGTCAAATGGGCCAAGAAGCAGCAGATACCGGATTTGAAACATCAGCTCCTGCCTCGCAGTACTGGCCTCCAGTTTTGTCTTGAACAGCTCGGTGATTCGATCGAGTGGGTATACGACTGTACATTGGCATATGAAGGCGTGCCGTAAGTATACCATGGTGTTTCCTGTTTGCAGAACTAACCTGGCACAGGAAAGGCGAGTATGCCCCAGATTACTTCACGCTGCGCTCGATTTATTTCCAAGGACGACCGCCCAAGTCAGTCAACATGCATTGGAGGCGCTTTGCCGTTTCAAGCATTCCCGTCAAGGATGCCGACGGATTTTCGGAATGGCTGCTTGCACGCTGGAAGGAGAAGGACGAATTGCTTGAAACGTTCTACAATACGGGCAGATTCCCCGTCGATGCGGTGCAGGATGGCGCCAAAGACGGTGGCTACATCGAGACAGAGGTCAGATTGCAGCGTTGGGTCGAGATTGGACAGATCTTTGTGGTGCTCGCCGCCCTGGCTCTGGTATCCAACGTGTTGACCAAGCTTTACGAAATGCTATTCTCTAGATGAGACGGAGCTCAGACAGCGATTGTCAGAATTAGGCACAAAGTTTTGGTTATGAGCCACACGAGGCCCTTGAAGACCTTGGAAGAATCCGACAAGAGACTCATATTACTCATGGTGATCAAATAAATCTTCTTTTCCGCTCGTAATTGCCCGGTGATATGGTCAGCCTTGCGAGGCTGAAAGTTTTTTGGTGTTTTCAAATGCCAACCGAACCCCAACCGCACCACATGAACAATGCCTTATTGACACGTTTGCGCAGACGCGCCAGGCCATATTCTTACCGCGCCAAATTCGACTGCGAAACTCTCCATAGCTTCTGTGCTATCAACACACTGATCCCTCCTCCGAATCATGAGCTGCTAGTCTATCCATCCGTGCAGCTTCCCGGCATCATCCTCATCCGCGATTCTCTTCTGGCCTTCCTCTCTTACCGGCACAAATGGCTGCGGTGGGGCGCGCAAGCGCCAATGGCGACCAAAACGGGGGCCTCGCTGCAAAGACTCGTTTCTCCGATATCCCTACCATACTCGATGTCCCCGTCGCAGATGCAGGTGGAGAGGCTGTCGAAGTCCATCTTGGAGAACATTTGGACGACCCGACCGAGCTGTGCCAACTGCTTGAAAATGAGAGAGCATCAAAGAGTCTATGGATCACTATTGCCTTAGCATACGCGAAACAATTACAGCTCGATCACGCACTCGGAATACTCTATAGCGGTCTATCTACGCTTGCCTCGAAGGACCGTCTCAACCTGCTATCTGGTCTTGCTTGGCTACAACTGCTGAAGAGTAGGCAAGCACCCCGTATCAAGCCCAGCAACAATCCCTCGGCAGATGTCAAGTTGAAAGATGACTATCTCAAGGATGCCACCATGACGCTCAATGAAGCCGGCCGCATCAACCCTGGATTTCCTCCTCTTCTGCTTACCAGAGGTGTACTATTCCTTTTACGAGCCGCCCTGGTATCCTCAACACGGCCCAGTGCTGAAGGCGAGCGAGCCGACTGGTTGAAGCAGGCGCTCCGAAGTTTTGAAGATGCGCTGCGTGCGTCTGACAACCGAAATGTGATGGCGATGCTCGGAAAAGCAAGAGTGCTGTACATGCAGAACCGATATCAGCAGGCTCTTGAATCATATCAGAAAGTCCTCTCCCGGATGCCATCGATGAGCGATCCTGATCCGCGGATAGGAATTGGCTGCTGTCTGTGGCAGCTTGGTTTCCACGACCGGGCCAGCAAAGCATGGGAACGATCGATCGAGCTGAATCCCGAGTCTAAGGTCGCACACGCACTCTTGGGTGTTTACTACCTTCGAGAGAGCGCAAAATATCCTGCTTCGAATCCGAACTTCGACAAACTGTACAGGAAGGCCATGCTCGAGCACATCAATAAGGCATACAAGATTGACAAGTCCTTCCCCATCAGCTGTGCCGTCTTTGCCAGTTATTTCCTCCTCAGCAATCGATTCGAGGCTGTGGAGCCACTGGCTCGGAACGCAATCGAGAAGACCGATGTCAATTCGATTGCCAGTGACGGATGGTTTCTACTAGGGCGAAAAGAGCACAATATGGATGACCTCGAGAAAGCGATGGACTATTACAGCCGTGCTGATGCTGCAAGAGGTGGTCCTGGCATCGGTCGAGGCTATACGCCTGCAAAATTCGGCCAAGTCCAAGTAGCGATCCGACGGGGACAGGACTTCGAGGTGTCCAAGAGTACTCTTGAGTCCCTGAGCGGTCCAAAGAGCATCGAAGCTAGCACTTTGTTAGGACTTCTGACGGCGGAACAATACTTCACACTCCTAAAGACCCTTCCTGCATTTGCTAGCGAAGGTAGCAAGGAAGCCAAAGACCGCCAGTACGCTCAAATGCTCTGCAAGCAGGCGATCAAGCTGCTTGAGAACGTCCGCAAGACCTGGCGGGAAAGCAAGACGGATGACAGTGCAACGCAGAACTCAAAGAAGGATGAAACGATTCTGCTGTACCTGGCAAAGCTGTACGAGCAGGACGATCCGACTCAGAGTGTCAAGTGTCTTGATGAGGTCGAGCAACTGCAGTTTGAGAAGATTCCCGAGGATGAGCAACCGCCTGCAGATCTGGACGATGATCTGCGTCTACAACAATTGAGAGAGAACTTGCCTCCGTCATTGCTCAACAACCGCGCTTGCCTCTATTATGGAGCTGGAGACTACAGTGCGGCCCGTGAGATGTTCCAGATTGCTCTGAATGCCTGCAGCAAACTGTCACAGAAGCAGCAGACGGAGAAAGAGATGGCCGCGGAAGGCAACATGCACGAGGATGATATCGATGATACCGACACCGATGCATTGCTCACCACGATCTCCTACAATTTGGGGCGTACTTTGGAGGCGCTAGGCCTGATCGAAGAAGCCCAGAAGACATACGAGATGCTGCTTTCTCGTCATGGAGACTACACTGAGGCCAAGGCTCGTTTGGCATATACTGCTTTGGTGACATCGCCGCGTGAAGATGGTCCGAAGAAAATGTCGCAGCTCTACAATGAGGAGTCTGGCAACATTGATGTTCGCGCTCTGATGGGTTGGTTCTATCACGGCTCCAAGAAAAAGACTGCAAACGTCGCGGAGGACAACGAGTACCGCCAGTACAAGCACACACTTCAGAACCATGACAAACACGACCTCTACTCACTTACTGGCATGGGCAACGTACACCTGGCCATCGCTCGCGAGATGCCACGCAATAATGATGCCGAGAAGGAGAAGCGCAGCAAGCAGTACAGCAAAGCGTACGAATTCTTCGACAAGGTCTTGCAACTTGACCCGAAGAATGCTTATGCGGCACAAGGTATTGCCATCATGCTCTGTGATGACAAGAAGAATTACTCGGACGCACTCCAAATATTTGCCCGCGTCAAAGACACGGTACGCGATGTTTCTGTCCTCACCAACCTGGGTCACGTCTTCACCGAGCTTCGACAGTATCCCAAGGCCATCGAAAACTATGAGCTCGCACGTGAGATTGACGAAGCCGCTCGTGGCGAGCATTCCAATCCGCAGTTGCTCGCCTGTCTCTCCCGCGCTCACTCAATGAAGGCCAAGGCTGATAAGTCGATTGTCGGGCACAATGTTTCGCTTGCCTACATGAAATCTGCTCTCGCCTCTCAAGCTGATTCTCCACATCTACGCTTTAATGTCGCCTTCATCCAGTTTCAGATCGCTCAACTCGTCAACACTGCCAAGGAGACCGATCGGACGCTTGACGATGTAGAGGCAGCGATCGCTGGTCTCGACGCGGCAATCGAGACTATGGAGGATGTTGCGCAGCACAAAAATCCTCCCTATCCGCGGACAGCCTTGGAGCAACGTGCGGCCATGGGTCGCAACACCGTCAAGAAGCAGCTCGAACGTTCCAAGGCATCACAAGCGGACTATGAGCGTAACAATGCTAGCAAGCTCGCGGAAGCCAAGCGCAGACGTGAAGAAGAGCTCGCTCGACGTGAAGCTGCTCTTGCCGCTCAGAAGGAAGAGCAGGAAGAACGCAAGCGAAAGGTGGAAGAAGAGAGAGCAAAAATGCTGGCTGAGGCGGAGAGAAGAAGTGAGCAAGCTCGCGCCGAGGCTGTGGCGAGAGAAGCGCTAGAGTGGACGGAAGATGAAGAGACTGGAGAGAGAGTCAAGCGCAGGGAAAAGGAACGCAAAGCACGCAGTGCAAAGTCGAAGAAGAGAAAGGCGCGGGAAGAAGTCGAAGATGGTTTCATCGAAGACGACGAAGACGAGGGTCGCAGTGAGCGCACCGTGTCCCGCACGCCTGCTTCGGATTCCGAGGACGAGGGCGATGCAGACAAGGCTGAGAAGGAAGAGCGGCCGAAGAAGAAACGACGCCGTCTCGAGCGCAAGGGTGGCCGGAAGGAGAAGGCAGCACCGACGCCAAAGAAGAGTAACAGCAAGTTCAAGTCTGATGAGCGCATCGTTGACTCGGATGAGGATGAAGTCGCCGCTGCAACGCCGACCAGTGATGCGGACGAGGACATGCCTGATGCCGATACTCCGCGGAACGGTGCCCGGGCTGACACGCCAGTCAACGGCGCAGCCAATGATGACGAGGACGACGAAGTCGTGCAGAAGCCTCGTCCGAAGCAGCGGAAACAACATCGTCTGATTGCCGATGACGACGACGATGAGGACGAAGAGGGCAATGCACATCTGGCAGCAGCTGCAGCGGCGGCTGTTGCGGCGGATGACGATGACGAGGAGTAAGGCTTCTCGCAATTCCAGCTTAGCGAGATTCCAGATTCCAGATTCCTGCGTAGGTGTGGACCCAAGAGGGTTCGGCGGATGGGAAAAGGGTGATGGGCGAAAAGGCCAAGGCCATTGCATTGTATCATTAGCAAAGGCCAAGAGCATCAATCTAGGTCTCGAAGGGTCTGTTTTCGCATCAATGGTTACCGCTGCGAATGCCCTTGATTCACGATCTGAGTGTGTGCTCGGCCAGATAAGGCGGCTACAGTCTTTCTGGAGGCAGGGTCGCAGTATCCGACGGGGCTGTTTCCCGAACAAAGTAGCTTGTCGACTTTTTGTTGAAGCGTATCGTGGAGTGTAATAATCCCTGGAACAGTCGAGGGGCGTGATTGGATCCCGCGATACGAGGATTCATGCTGGTCGCCTCGAACTTTATCTGCACTCTTCGTGACAACCTGGACGACGTGACGGACATTGGGGACGCATCGGGCGAAGCAATCCTCTTGCCATCATCGAGGTCGCATAATTTGTTCATCAACATACTCGAGCTCGCTTCTAGACTTCCCCAAGGACCACCCGCGACGAGAGCACGGAGATGGAAAGCGAGGGCTATCTCTTGGCCTCTAAGCGTGGCTCGAGATTGGGGATCGCTGTTCGGTACGCGACACCAACAGCTCGGGACACGGCCCGAACATAGAAATCCCTTATCTCGAGGATGCCATTCTTCAGCGCGCGCGCTCATCGCCGTAGGCGTTTGCTCGGCGTTTCTCCAAATGTTTATATCGCGTCTTCCTCGGCACACCGCCCCGAGCATAAAGCTGCGCTTCCGCCCCCTCTCACAGAATCCATCACGGCTGGCGTAACGCGGCATCTCAACACCTCAGCACAATGGCAGCGACGACTACAGATCAAGATTCCCTGAAGGACGCCAAAATGTCAGCGTCCGAGGTCAAAGTGGACGTGCTCCAGGCCACGACACAGTCCTGGAGCGACGCCGACGAGAAGAAACTGGTCCGCAAAATGGACCTGAGGATCTTCCCCATCATGATCATCCTGTTTATTCTCAACTTCATCGACCGCAACAATTTCGCCAACGCTCGCCTCAAGGGTCTGGAGGAGGACTTGAACCTGACCGATGTTCAATATCAGACCTGTATCTCCATCCTGCTGGTGGGATACGTCGCCATGCAAATTCCATCAAATATGTTTTTGACTGTCATCCCACGGCCGAGCTGGTACCTCTGCGCTTGTGTTGCCACCTGGGGCTTGATCTCTGCCGCGACTGGCGCGATTCAGAATGCTACAGGGGCGATTTTGTGCCGCTTCTTCCTTGGTTGTGTCGAGGCTAGTTTCTTTCCTGGTTCACTCTACGTAAGTTCCTCGGCAAATACCCGTCAACCAATTCAAGACCACCACTCTCCCTCAACCGGCTTCAAGCGTGTGCACTGATTCACAATGTATAATGCAGTTCCTGAGTCGCTGGTACACCCGTTCGGAGATGCAGCTGCGCGTCACCATCCTCAATGCCGGAAACCTGTCGGCACAAGCTTTCGGTGGTTTGATTGCTGCCGGAATCCTCAGTGGCATGGAGGGAGATCTGGGGCTGAGATCCTGGCGTTGGCTCTTCATAGTGGAGGGAGCGGTAACCATTGCATTTGCGGCGATTGCCGTCTTCATCCTTCCCGACTATCCAGCAACCACCTCCTGGCTATCTGTTGAGGAGAAGCAGATTGCACAGGGACGATTGGCCCTCGACGCTGGCCTTGCTGCCGATGACTTTACCGGCGAGGACATCTCGGCATTCACAGGACTGAAGATGGCGGTGAAGGACCCAAAGACCTGGCTTCTTGGTCTCACTTACCATGCGACCATCATGGGGTTGAGCGTAAGTCGTGCTGTTCCCACCCCGTAAATGCCAACACTAACCCGCCCAATCCAGTTCGTTTTCTTCTTCCCCACCATCACCCAGGCTTTGGGCTACAACACCACGAGCACCTTACTGCTCACGGCACCGCCCTGGATCTGGGCAATGCTCGTGTCACTCCCCAACGCCTGGCACGCCGACCGCACGGGCGAGCGCTTCCTGCACTACCTAGGTCCTGCCCTCACCTGCATCACTGGCTACATCATCTCCGCCACGACCACGACCACCGCCCCCCGTTACGTCGCCATGTTCATGATGACAACGGGCTTCGCGTCCGGCTTCGTCATCCTCGCGTGGATCTCCAACACCATCCCGCAGCCAGCGGCCAAGAAGGCCGCCGCCATCGCCATCGTGAACTCCATGGGCAATATCGGCAGTATTCCTGGCTCGTATATCTGGCCCAGGAGCTATGGCCCGCTATACGTCAAAAGCTTTGGGGCGGAGATTGCCATTTTGGGCTTCGCGTGTTGTATGGCGCTCGTGCTGAGGTTTTACCTGAAGAGAGAGAACCAGAAGCTGGATCGTGAGGAAGGGAGAGTGGGTATTGGTGCCGATGGCAAGGCTGTCGAAGTTGAGGCCGCTGCTGGGACGGGCCAGAAGGGGTTCAGGTACCTTTATTGAGTTGCGACTGGCCTTGCCGTAAGTCGACATATAGCAGTCAGAGAGGTCCAGAAGCACGCATCCTCACGTGTCGTCCAACTCTATACTCTGAGACGGCTTTTGATCTATGACGGCCTTTCATCCAGACTAGTGGACACTACCACGCCATCACGCCCCCCTCCCCTTCTCCACCATCCCCTTCAACCTCCCCATCTCCCCACCCATCCACGCCATGACCGCCACCAGATCCGCACCACAATTCACAAACTCCCACCCCTGCTCCCACCTGGACCCAGCCTCCTCAGCACTCAGCGCAAAATGCCCCACAAACTTCCCCTTCTCCTTTCCGACCCTCAACACCTTCGCAATCGCCTCCTGCACCTCCGGCGTCTTGGCATGATCAAACGCCACAAACCCCATCGAGCTCGCCAGATCATTCGGCCCCACAAACAACATGTCCAACCCTTGCACGCTGGCAATCGCCTCGATATTCTCCACCGCCGTCCGCGACTCGATCTGCACGCACACCATGACCCCATCATTCGCGCCCATGTAGTACTCCCTGGGCCCCGGTCTCCCGTCGAAAGCGTGGTGCGCAAACATGGCGCCCGCGCCCCGATTCCCCCTTGGCCACCGGGGGCCGGGATACTTGCAGGCGCGCACGACGGCCTCGGCCTGCTCGGGCGTCTCGCACATGGGCACCATGACGGCGTGGCAGCCGGCGTCGAGGGCGCGCTTGAGCTGCCAGTGCTCCGAGGCCGGGACGCGCACGATGGGCGAGACGCCCGCGGAGGAGACGGCCGAGACGGCGAGGTGCATGGCGGCATCGTCGATGTCGCCGTGTTCGGTGTCGATTAGGACCCACTGTTGGAGTGTTAAGGGGGAAGGGGGGCGGGGGTTAGGGACTGGGATTGGCAGTAGATGGGGGAGAAGATGGGGGTGCAAACG